CACAGATATATATATATATATATATATCTGTGAAGTTTCACTGCTCCTCCTCTCTCCTTGCGTTCTCTTTCTTTCAGTAGATCCCTCAGAGATTCTGACCTCTGATCCAGTGGACCTCCAGTGTGTTCCCATGGAAACCCATTTCTGCCCCGTCCCCAAACTGCTGGTGTCGGCTCCAGTGGCTCTGAACTCAGTAAGCCTTTCACGTAACCCCAGTTAAAGTCCTTGAAGCCCTGCAGCAAACACGTGCCTCGCCTATGTGCACACCGACTGAGTGGGAAACTTCTCTCACGACGTTCTGAAAGCTGCGACGGTTCATGCAATACAAGCTAGGACTTATTTCTGCTGCTTCACGGCAGCCCTCCCGATGCATAGTGACTCGATGAGCAATAGAGGTCCCTTGTTCTGACAGCCATACATGACCACACCTTACGTGTGTCGCAAAGGGCACACGCACACTTGAACACACACATTAAAGACTAAATGCCCTTTATGGGTTGCAGCCATTACCTGAGGCAGCCCAAAACGCATCTGATGGTTCCAAAGTAAGAAATGTTCCTTCTGGAAACTCGAACAGACCTACTGCTGGTCGATAACTATGACATGTTGTCAGCATGAAAGAGAGTTTCATAACCTGTCATATTTATGTTTAAAACATGACGTCAGATAAAATGTTTATGCTGTTTCATGTCCTGCTTATCATTTAGTTTCAATCCCATCTGGTGAAATATCAATTAGGAGTTGATGATAATTTGTTTGTGCCTTTGGCTACTTTTCTGCTTATCTGCAGGGGAAACATGCTTTCCTAAATTAATTAACAGAAATTAATAAGTTATTTGCAACTAAAGGCAATACTGATTACAAATTAGGAATGTATTAGCCAGTTGATCCTGATGAAGGAGGATTTCATCAAATTGTACTAATCTACACAGATTTATTATGTTTCAGGGATGTGGTTGGGTTAAAAATTATTTTATTCACATTTATTTGCCAGCATGTAGGTTCTAGTAACAAATGCAGGGGTTCCCAAACATGGTCCTTGAGGAACACCATCCTGCATGTTTTAGTTGTTTCTCTGCTCCGACACACCTGATTAGCAGGCTTCTGTAGAACACGAGGAAGTAATTAAATCACTGAATCAGGTGTGCTGGAACAGGGGAACAACTAAAGCATCAAGGATGGTGTTCCTCAAGGACCAGGGTTGGGAACCAAGATGTTTAGCCATATAAATCGGAACCTATTCACCTTGTTGTTTTTCTCTTTAGTTTTTAGGGTGGTGGTTTGAATTATTTTGTCTTTGAAATAACATACAGCCTTAAAGCAGGTGGGATCGCCTTCTCCACAAGAAATCCTCTTTGTTTTGCGCAGCTCTCATCAATAATAGTTCAGGCTACAAAAAAAAATAAAGTTTGAGCAGTAAGCTATTATTTTTGATTAGTGATAGATTTATTTTAGTATGGGTTATGTGTGAGGAATTTAAAAAGGCGTTTGTTCGTCCCACTCCCCCTTATAATTTCACGTTAAACAACTTGTGAACCCTTGTTTGTTTGTCTTCATCGTGCCTTCAGTTACATCAAACTTAATTGTATTGTTTAGTCCATTCTTTGGTCAATAACTTAAAAAAAAGGCACCTATTTTACATTTGATGTCAGTCACTGCACGAGACAAGAGCTGGGTTTGTTTCCTAATGTTGTGCCTGAAGTCCACTGGATATGCAAGAAACTTTCTATTTATTTCAACACTTCAGTAAATCCTCTAAAGTAAGTGTAAATGGCCAACAGAGATCCATTTCAGAAAGGCGACTTCTTTGTGTGATTATTTTTGGGTGAATATGTGGCACAGATTTTTGTCCAATGGCTCTTCAGGGAGAAATCAGAGAACTTGAAAACGACCTGTTCTGACTTCGTGTGGTCCTCTTTTCTACTGCTGCATCTGACTCTGAATAATAAAACCACAGCTGTTATGAGAGGAGCGGGGGGTGGGGTGGGGGTACATATTCAAGTACGTTTGCAAGGGACTGCTTTGTTTGTGTGTAAAACTAAACTTTTAAAAACTGGGCTGAAATCACTTTAATCCAAAATCAAATGTGCCTCTTTCAGATCTCCTTAAATCATCGCCGTCAGCACACTGTAAGAACTGACCAGTGCTCAAAGTGTCCAAGTAAATCAACATAATGAGAGATCACAGCTGGTTGTTTTTTCTCAGAGACACCTGTGCTATCTTTCTGTTAACGTAAGAAGTAAATAAATCAGTGCGTGTAGAAAGAGAACATGGATCGCAGGTTTCGTTGCTCTTAAACGCTGCAGATGTTAACAGCGTTTCCCACTGAACATTATTCATTTTAAAGAATGTTAATGTCTTGTGAATGTATCAAATGCAAAAACTATACACATGCCCCTCTAAAAGACAGGCATGCTGAAATGTAACGATTTACTGTATAGAAACTATGTCAGAGGTACCATAATGATACTGTGCTAAGATGTAGAAAAGTGTGTACTCATATTTAGATTTATATTTAATGTCAATATGTGGTGTGACTACTTCTAAAGATATTTTTCACTTTCAGAAATGTACCTTATAGTTTCTGATGTACGCCGTTCAGGTTCATGCAGATGTGATTTACTCTCGTTCAAAAAGGTTTTCTTGAAAACACATGTATTTATGATCATACTTTAGCTTTTTTTTGTTTTTGTTTTGTTTTTATCTGAAAATTTATTTCCTCCGACTTGTATAGTTTGATTTCTGTTTGTATGTTTTGTTTTAAAAAACCCTGGATTCAAATAACGTCCTCAAGCTCAATTTTACAACACGTGTGTGAGAACTGTGCGGTCACGTGTGTAATAATTTGGATTTTCAGCATGTTGGAGCAGAAACTGGCAGAACACAGTAATAGTAATATGACCAGTGCTGACAAAATGAGTCACATTAAGGTTTTTTCTCCAATACAGTAGTCCCTCGCTACTTCACAGTTCGTTTTTCGCAGACTCGCTCTATCATGGTTTTTCAAAATAAGATTGGACATGACACACAATTGGCTGATTGACGGATGAGCCGCATGATCAGCTTGGAATTTTTATTTTAAATGAATTATTTAGCACCTGTGTGCAGCCCACACTGCAAGAGAAACTTCCTCCTGCAGCTCCTCCGTTCTGCTGCGGAGAACTGGGCGTGGCCAAGAGCACTGGCAGGTGCAGAGAGCAGCGTGGCAGAGAGCTGAGTTCATGACATGCTGTGCTCTTTTAGAGCGTTTAGAGTTTAGAAACATTGTTTAGAATATTGCAAGAGTGTGAGAAGGGTTTAAAACGTCTTAACTACTATTTACTATTTGTACTCACTACTATTACTACTTAGCTGTTTTTCACTTATCATGGGGCTTCAGGGTACAGTTCCCCCGAGATAAACGAGGGACTACTGTATTGAATTATTGGGGACTGCCTAGAGAGGCAGCCATCTATTATTATCCACCTGAAAATGGTCTTGTTCTTCTTTCAACTTTAATGCGGAGTAAACTGCAAAGTGTACCCCCACAAATGTTATATCAAAACGACTGGCTTGGCGCCATGTTCTGTGCTGTTACTTTTATTGGCGTTTCGAGTTACCATGGCGATGCAATTTGCAAACAAAGATGCCATTTTTCTCATTGAAACAAACTATAAATCAGCCATTTTTAGAGATATTAAGTTAAAAAATTGGTGTGGTCATAGCTGAGAGCTATTCACCATAAATACTGAAGAAATAAAAAAAACAACAATCAAGATGGCCACCAGAGCTAAATTTAAATGGTTTTAACTCGGCTATTTTTACACATACAGAGCTGAACTTTGGTGAGGTTATAGCTGAGAAGGTTCCCTATCGCATACTGAAGCCAAATCAAAAATCCAAGATGGCCACCAAAGCTTTAAAATAAATAAAGTACAGTACTATAACTCATTGATTTTTTTTTATTATTATTTTTGCCACATTGAGCTGAAGTTTGATATGGTGGTAGCTGAGAGCGGACCCCAACACATAGTACAGTCAAATCAAAAATTTTAAATAGCTGCAATGTGGCAGTCCCTGTCAAAGTTTCTCCAGGAACTATCTACAGTAGTTATTATTTTAAAGTTCTCCATCTCAAATACCTCAAAATTATACGAAATTCATTAAAATTTGACAATTTATCACCTGGCTAGCAACAGGCTAGCCTGGGAGAAACTCGATTTTTATTAGTCTAAAATGATGTCACTCTGGATTCCAGTACCATATAAAAAAAAGAGGGAATGCCTAAAATCCTCATTGATGCCAAGCAATATACAAAGGGATTTCCCCCATGCTAAGGCAGCCAGAAAAATGGATAAATACTAGGAAATGATAAGAGTTGTAAGACAAAGAATTATTTCTAAAGACATACATGTTAGAAAACTTTGATTTAAAGATAGATTAGGAAGATTATATGCTTTTTTATTTAATGGGATTGCTAGATTGTGTCTTTATAAACTAATTTACGTGGAAAACTCAATTACGACAAAAAAATATAAATATATATAAATATATGTTTTCACCTATTTTGCACTGCAGCCTGTGACAGTTCTGACCCATTTTGCAGCACGGGTCAGAAATATATGAGCCATGTGAAACAGGGCTTTACTGCACATAACTGTTCAGTAAAATTACAGCTTTTCTAAAGTATGATTACAGATACAAAATGTTGCTTTTGAAGCACTCCTTTTTGAATTCTGTGAATTTTTCCAAGATTCTTCTGTTTTTTTCTTCCTTTGACAAATTTAGCCAAATTACTTAAAAATAAAATAATAATAATAATTTTAAAAAAAGAATGTGTATTTTAACTGGACAAGAAAACGAGTCAGTGTGTGTGGGACCTTTAGTGTTTTTTTAAGGTCTTTTTGGAATTTGATTTAAATATTAGTTGTTTTTTGTTTTTCTTTCTTTCTTTTGGGGGGGTAGTTTGCGGGGTGTAAACAGGAAACTGCGGACGCAGTTGCTTATTGTTTTCTTCTCTATAAACACGAGCCAACACCAGTGTCCAACGCTTAAGGAACAGAACTCACCTTCTTTCCACTTTAGCTAAAAGCTTCATATTTGTTTCTAAATATTCATGTTGAACTAGCAGCTTCATTAACGTTGGCTGGAAACTGGGAGAAACCAAGTCGTTTAAAAATGTCAAACAAGCTTAAGAAGCAATACGTCGAATCCAGTTCGTCTGAAATGTGCAGAAACCGTGTCTAAATGACACGTAACATTCAGGAACGTTGGCAGTGAGTTTGCTAAGCAACCAGCATCTGAGGAATGAAACACAATAAAATATTAAAATACAAAAACGACACAGAGACAGGGGCAATGATTTGAGTCAAAGGTGAATGTAACTTACCCCAAAGCTTCACTTTCGTTCCACATAATTATACTTTTAGACTGCAATGTGTTTTCTGTAAAACAATGTCAGTTTGTGCATAAATCAAGCTCTTCTTTC